AGGGGGGAGTGGAGGAGGGGGGGCACATGGCATGCTCAACTTGCTCGGATCATGGAATCGCAGCCCGATCACATAAGGTGCTGCCATCATGGGGAAAACAACAGTGTCGCAGTGAAAAATTAGCAGGATTCTTTTACAATGAACATTTTTTTTTAACCAAAATAGAATAATATGCATGCAGTAATGCGCATATGTACGAGGCCGGGTTGAGTCTATCCTATCGCCATTTGGCGCCTTGTTGTGTACCACTGCTCGCAGGTCGTAAAAGCGTAACGAGGTAATCGACCAAATCATTTAGCGCCGTCGAGAGCAGCGCGCGGGTCGGCGGGGCTTTCAAACAGTCGCGGCCTCACCAGCGTCGTCGCCGTGGTGCCGTGGTCGGTGATTGACGGCGGCCGATGGGCAGCGGGCAGCACGAGCGGCGTCGTGTTGCCACCGCTTCAAATGATGTCTTTTTCCGTGGCCGCGAGCTCGTTGAGCTGCTCGTCGACTCGCTTATCGCGCTGCTCAAATCGACCGGTTTGGTCAGCTTGGCCGACACGTTAAATCGGCGTGGGGAGGGTCAAAGTTGTTTACGAATGCGTCAAATGCCTCTCTGGGGGGCAGCAGCGCGGGCGGTGGCATTTGAGGGGGGAAGGGGGTGGGGGGGTAGGTGGTCTGTTTCGAACATGCTCTCGCGTTTCAGTGAGGAAGAATGCTGCTGCTGCCACTAGGGTATCAAAAACAGGATATTTTCGGAGAAAGTTCGCAATCTTTCCAGAAAAAAATCGCATTTTTTTTTCTTAACGTTTCAGGAAAAATTTGAGTAATTTTTTACCAATTCAGAAGAAAAAAAATCTGCCAACAAATATTTGGTTTTGAACATTTGCTAATTTTATGCAAATTTGACTTGAAAATTCAAATCTCTAGCTGCCCCCCTACTTTAGGTCGTTACTATTGGTCTATATCAGTCTCTTCTCGGTCGCCTCGCGGCGCGCCGGGGGACGCGTTGTGCTTGCAGGGACGCTGTGGTGCGGCGCCGGCAACGTGGCCCGCTCGGAGGACGAGGTGGGCGTGTTCCGCTCCACGGACAAGTGCTGTCGCCAGCACGACAACTGTCCCGACAGCATCGCGGCCGGCGCCTCCAAGCACGGCCTGCGCAACACGGGCACCTTCACCAGGTCCACGCTCTTCACAAATTTTAAATCACGAAATTTTTCCCGAAAAATTTGAAACTTTTCAATAAGACAATTTTTTTTAAATCGAAAAATTTCTTGAGAAACTGAAAAAACACTTCAGTCATTCAAAAAAACAATCTGGAAAAATTTGCCGAAAATGTTTTTTCTGGAAAATTAAAATCCGTTGAAACCATAAACCTGAACAACCAAAACCAACCCCCGTCGTATGCTCCCTCCCCAGGTCACACTGCGACTGCGACGAGGCCTTTTACAACTGCCTCAAGGCGGACCGCAAGTCGATCGTGTCCGTGAAGGTGGGCTCGACGTACTTCAACCTGCTGCGGCCGCGATGCTTCCGCGCCGTCGGCCAGCCGTCCTGCGCCCCGAGGTAAGGCCTAGTAGGGGGTCGACGGGCACACCGGAGTAAACCTGGTGGAGTACACTCGGAGTACGTAGAGTACACCAGGAGTACACCAGGAGTACACGCGGAGTACACCCGGAGTACCCCCCCCCCCCTTGACACTGGAGCACACCAAGTACAGTTGTCGACCCCTCGGCCTCTGGTGAAGCCCGCACACCGTGCGCGCGCGCGCGTTGGGCTGCCTACCCCGGCCGGCGCGCTCTCACCGCGTGTGTCCATGGTGCTCTCTGTCCGCAGCGCGCCCGGCGGCGCCCCCGGCAACAACTGCACGGCGCCCTACCGCTGGTTCAACA